CAGACCCCGCCCGAACGCGCCCAAAGCGACCTCCGAAACGGCCCGAGACCCCCAAGATGGCCCCAAGACGCCCCCAGAAGGGCCCAAGATGCCGCCCAAGAGGGCCCAAAGCGACCTCCGAGACGGCCCGAGACCCCCTAGATGGCCCCAAGACCTCCCTGCGCGGCCCCCAACCGAGGCCCGTAAACGTACCCCCCTCATTCTGACTGTGCCTGAAAGCCCTAGTCGCGCCTAGGCCCAGCGCGACTAGCAAAAACCAATTTCTTTTCACGCTTCCAGGTCAGTGTCCCTGGAGCTCCCCGACTGATGGCCGGGGTGGCCCCCAGACGTGGCCTGTAAACGTCAGCCCTACCCCCCACACGGGACCCCCACAGGCGGCCCCCATTCACAGCCTCCGAAGGTCGCCCCTACCGCCCCAGTCAGCGTGGCCCCCGAACGTCACCCCCACGCGTAGCCCCCAGGCGCCCCCAAACGTGGCCCCCCCACACACACAGCCCCCAACCACTGCCCTCAAACGAGACCGTCAAACGTGTCCGTCAAACGTGACCGACGAGCTGGTCACCTACGGTGTGCGAGTCCCAGGCTCAGCACGCCGTGGATTTAATCCGCGGGTTCAGACTAGTCACTGGTCTCTTCTCTATGGCAGACGGACGCGCGTGCGAAAAGGTCGTGCACTTTGCGGCCATTTTTCGACACCCCTCACGCAGATCCTGGCCCCCGAGCGTCACAAATGGAGCCCTCCCCCCAAAGACGCGCCGAAGTGGCAAAAAGAGGCTCCAAGGAGCGTCCAAGAGGCCCCCTAGAGGCCCCCAACAAGGGCCAACAAGAGGCCCCCAAGAGGACCCCACCAAGGCTCTAGAGGCCTCCAAGAGCCTCCAACAGTCCTCCGAAGCATGTCCCCAGAGGCCAAAATCCTGCATTTTTCAATGGTTTTGGAAGGAGTTTTGCCTGCTCGCCTTCTCGGCTAGCCGACGCTCCAAGCCGGCCGAAGAGACCCATAAGACCGCCCCAGGTCGGCCCAACAGGCCTTCAAGCGCGTCCCCAGACGGCCCAGGGAGCCCCAAGATGGCCAAGAGGCGCCTGAGACGGCCCCGGAGGACCCCAAGCCAGGCCCAAGAGGGGACCAAAGAACGGGGAAAAACCCTGACACTCCGAGCCCTGGGCCCCCATACGCCCACACAAGGCCCCAAGGCCCCCCCGAGAGGCCGCCAAGAGACTCCAACAGTACCCCGACGCATGCCCCCAGAGGCCAAAATCATTCCTTTCTCAATGGTTTTGGAAGGAATTTTGCCTTCTCGTCTTCTCGGCTAGCCGACGCTCCACGACGGCCGTACAGAACCACAAGACCGCCCCAGGACGGCCGAAGAGGCCTCCAAGCGCGTCCCCAGACGGCCCAGAGAGGCCCCCAACAAGGCCATAGATGCCTCCAAAAGCCTTCAGCAGTCCTCCGAAGCATTCCCCCAGAGGCCAAAATCCCTAATTGTTCCATGGTTTTTGCAGGTGTTTTGCCTTCTCGCCTTCTCGGCTAGCCGACGCTGCACGACGGCCGAAGAGACCCACAAGACCGCCCAAGGACGGCCCAACAGGCCTGCAAGCACGTCCCCCAGGGAGTCCCAAGATGACCCAAGAGGCGCCCAAGACGGCCCCAGAGGACCCCAAGCCAGGCCCAAGAGGGGACCAAAGAACGGGGAAAAACCCTGACACTCCGAGCCCTGGGCCCCCATACGCCCACACACGGCCCCAAGGCCCCCCCAAGAGGCCTCCAAGAGCCCCCAACAGTACTCCGAAACATGCCCCCAGAGGCCGAAATCTTTTCTTTCTCCATTGTTTTTGAGAGAGTTTGGCATTCTCGCCTTCTCGGCTAACCGACGCTGCAAGACGGCCAAAGAGACCCACAATACCGCCCCAGGACGGCCCAACAGGCCTCCAAGCGCGTCCCCAGACGGCCCAGGGAGCCCCAAGATGGCCCAAGAGGCGCCCAAGCCGGCCCCAGAGGACCCCAAGCCAGGGCCAAGAGGGGGCCAAAGAACGGGGAAAAACCCTGACACTCCGAGCCCTGGGCCCCCATACGCCCACACAAGGCCCCAAGACCCCCCCAAGAGGCTTCCAAGAGCCTCCAACAGTACTCCGAAGCATGCCCCCAGAGGCCAAAAGCCTTCCCTTCTCCATTGTTTTTGAGGGAGTTTCGCCTTCTCGCCTTCTCGGCTAGCCGACGCTCCAAGACGGCCGAATACACCCACAAGACCGCCCTTGCCTTCCCGCCTTCTCGGCTAGCCCACTCTCCAAGACGTCCGAAAACACCAACAAAACCGCCCATGTCATGCATACATGGGTGTGCTTCCACTGACACCGGCTCCACCACCGCGCTCCTGCCTTCAGGCCTGCTTGCCTGCATCCTTCGCCCACCTTCCCCTCCAGCGGCCACCTCCTCCATCCACGCCGTCCCCTCCAACCTCCCCTCACCCGCGAGGCCCCAGAGACGCTCCACTTCCACGTACACGCCAGGGCTGGCAAATTCCGCGGCGGGAAGGCCGGAGGCCGCGGGTCTCCTCTCTATGGCAGACGGAAGCGCGTGCGAAATGGGCAAGCTTGCCACCCCCCTGGAGGGCCAATTTTCGACACCCCTCACGCAGATCCTGGCCCCCGAGCGTCACAAATCGAGCCCTCCCCCCAAGACGTGCCGAAGTGGCCATAAGAGGCTTCAAGGAGCGTCCAAGACCCCAACAAGGCCCAAGAGGCCCCCTAGAGGACCCTAGAGGCCTCCAAGAGCCTCCAACAGTCCTCCGAAGCAAGTTCCCAGAGGCCAAAATCCGTAATTTCCTATTGTTTTGGAAGGAATTTTGCCTCCTCGCCTTCTCGGCTAGCCGACGCTCCACGACGGCCGAAGACACCCACAAGACCTCCCCAGGACGGCCCAAGAGGCCTCCAAGCGCATCCCCAGACGGCCCAGGGAGCTCCAAGATGGCCCAAGAGGCGCCCAAGACGGCCCCAGAGCCAAGAGGGGGCCAAAGCACAGGAGAAAAACCCTGACACTCCGAGTCCTGGGCCCCCATACGCCCACACAAGGCCCCTAGGCACCCCCAAGAGTCCACCAAGAGCCCCCAACAGTATTCCGAAGCATGCCCCCAGAGGCCAAAATCCATATTTTTTCAACGGTTTTTCAAGGAGTTTTGCCTTCTCGCCTTTACAGCCCCAAGAGCGTTCAATAATTGCCCAAGACGGTCCCAAGGCGGTCCGAGCTGCGCCCAAGACTGCCCCACACGGCCCAAACGGCCTCCAAGTCGGCTCAACGGGGGTCGTGCGTGCCAGAATGCCGCAGGATCAATGAAGTCAAAACCGCCTCGGGCTGGCCCCGGGCCGCCCAGGGACGCCCAGGGAGGCTCCAAGACATGCCAAGAGGGCCCCAAGAGGCCCAAGTCGGCCCGAGAGGTCTCCAGGGTGCTCCATGAGACCTCCCAAGAAGCTTCCCCAGAGGGCACCGAGCAAGAAAAAACATATATTTTCCTTTGTTTACAAGGTTTTTGACGTTCTCGCCGTGTCGGCTTCCAGACGATCCACGACCGCCCAAGACGTCCCCAAGACGGCTCCAAGACAGCCGAAGAGGCCCTCAAGAGAGGCCCCAGACGCTCGAGTTTGGCCCAAGATTGGCCCAAGCCGGCCCGAGAGGCCTCCAAGGTGCTCCATGAGACGTCCCCAGAACCTTCCCCAGAGGGCCCCGGGGCCCCGACGCGCTTCCAAGATGGCTTAAGAAGGCTCCGAGCCGCCCCCGGAGACCCCCAAGTGGGCCTCAAGAGGGCCCGACGACGGTCCAAGCGGGCCTCCGAGACGGGCCCCGAGCGCTCGAAGACGCCCAAGACAGCCGCCCGACGGCCTTAGAGGCCCCCAAAATGTTCCAAGTGGGCTCCATAGAGAGCCCTGGATAGCCCGTACAAGGAACAATCGTCACAATCCAAAGGGAAAACGCATATTTCGGGAGTTCCCGTGCTTTTCGTCTCCGAAGCGTTCAAGACGGTCACACAGACCCTCATGATCGTCAGGAGGGCCTCGCTCAAGACGGCTCGACACTGCGCCAGGACGGTTCCTCAGGCGCCCATGGCGGCCCCAAGAGGAGGGCAGGACAGGGTGGGAGCGCTCCCGAGGGGCCCCAAGAGGGGACCAGACGGGCCCCAAGATGGCCCCGACAAGGCCCCAAGACGCATGTACTTGGGTGCCCATCTCGCAAGCCCATCAAGCATATCAAGTACATGCGGTTTCGGGCCCTCTTGGGGCCCCCTTGGGGCGCTCTTGCGGCCCTCTTGAGGCCTTCGGGCCCCTCCAAGACAGGGCCGGGCGCATTCTGCCACAGAAAGGACTCTCGTGGCAGAATGACGGGCCCGCGCCCGGCGGCGTCCTGGGGCCCTCTTGGAGCTCTTGGACCCAAGACAGCCCCAAAGACGGTCCCAGACGGCCCGAAGACGGCCCAATGGGCGCCCACGACGGCTCCAACACGACCCCGAAGGCACGCAAGACAGCCCCAAGAGCCGCCAAGACGGTCCAAGACGGCTCCCAGACGGCCCAAGAGGCGCTCAAACGGCCCAGGACGGTTCCGAGACGGCCCAAACGGCACCGACGAGAGCCCACGAGGGCCCCCAGAGGCCCCCTCGAAGCCCCCAAAAAGCTCCAAGATGCCCCCACACGGTCCCTGGGAGACCCTAAGTGGCTAACCGTGGGATCTTCGCGCAGCGGCGCCGCGCGCCCCAACTACATCCCCGCAAGCGTTCTGTGTCTCGCCGCCGCCGCCGCCGTCATCGTCCCCGTCGGGCGGCGCCGGCAGGCGCCACGGAGCGTGCCGGTACAGCTCGGAGCGCTGCTGTGGAAGGGGCGGATAGCCTTGCGGCACCATTCCCGCCGCTCACCCCTAGAATACTCTTGCCCAGATGTCGTGGACGGAGTCCACGGGTCAGCCCGCAAGTGGACGTAGTCCACGGGTCGGCCCTAGTCAGCTACAGCGCTGGGATCAGCGCGTGCGAAAAAGGCGAGCAGTGGCAGCGGGCGCTGGCGCTGCTGAACGAGATGCGGGAGGCGAAGCTGGAGCCCAACGTCATCTCTCCTATAATGCAGCGCCCACCGCTCGCCAAAGCGTCGAGCAGTGGCAGCGGACTGGCCCCCTCTGGCGGCCACCAACGCGGCCCCAGGGCCCTGGCGCGCTTTCCAAGATGGCTTGCTCCGAGCCGCCCCTGGAGGCCCCCAAGAGGTCCCGAAGACGGTCCCAGAGGGCCTCCGAGACGGGCTCAAGCGCTCGAAGACGCCCAAGACGGCCGCCCGACGGCCCAAGAGGCCCCCCAAAATGCTCCAAGTGGGCCCCAGGAGAACCCGAACAAGGGGGAGTTCCCGTGCTTTTCGTTTTCGAAGCGTCCAAGACGGCCTCACAGGCCTTCAAGATCGTCCCAAGACTCTTCAGGAGGCTGCCAGGAGGGCCCCAGGATAGCTCAAGACTGCGCAAGGACGGCTCCTCAGGCGCCCATGGCGGCCCCAAGAGGGGGCCAGGACAGGGTGGGAGTGGCCCCAAGAGGGGGCCAGGAGGGCCCCAAGGGGGGCCCGACAAGGCCCCATGACGCATGCCCTTGAGTGCCCCTCTTGCAAGCCCAAAATGCATCTCAAGTACATGCGGTTTGGGGCCGCCTTTGGGGGGCTCTTGGGGCGCCGCTTCCAAGACATGGCTAAGTGCATTCTGCCACAGAGGCCTCTCGTGGCAGAATGGTGGGCCCGCGCCCAGCGGCGTCCTGGTCGTCGTCGTCGTCGTCGTCGTCGTCGTCGTCGTCGTCGTCGTCGTCGTCGTCGTCATCATCATCATCATCATCATCATCATCATCATCATCATCATCATCATCATCATCATCATCATCATCATCATCATCATCATCATCATCATCATCATCATCATCTCGTCGTCGTCTCTCTGTCCCCCCCCCGGCCGGACTTCTGCACTGCCCCCGACTTCTTTGAACCCGTGGGACGCTCCAGGCTTGTGGACCCGACCCGTGCCGTTGCGATAAGGAAGCTTCTCCGCAAGGGCCCTCGCGACTGGAGATCCGGATGGGTCTCCGAACCTTTCTTGGGGTCCGCGCGCACCAGTCTTTCGAGCTGCGTCTGGCCGTGGCGCCGAGGGAGACCCCCGCGAAAACCACACAATGCCTCGGGCCTCGATTCCCGAGACTCGAGGTGCGAGCCTTGGAGTGCGTCCCCCCCCCGTGTGCCCGGTTCGTTGTTCCCGTGCCCATCGGATAACGACGACGATGACGACGACGAAGCGACGACGACGGCGGCGGCAGCGGCAACGACGAGTACGACAGCGGCGGCGGCAAAGGCGACGACGACGACGACGACGACGACGACGACGACGACGGCAACGACGACGACGATGACGGCAACGACGACGACGACGGCGACGACGGCGGCGACGACGGCGAAGACGGCGGCGGCGACGACGGCGGCGACGGCGGCGGCGTCGGCGGCACCAGGCTTCCGAGCTCCTTCCAGCCGCGAGCCCGAGGGGACCGCAGAGGCCGAACCGACTGGACACGTTCACAACGAAATACCTGCATCGGAGCTGTTCTGAGTAGTCCAGGCCGCACACCGACCTGATATCTCCTGACCCTTCCCTTCGAGCCCCCCCGCCAGGAGCTCCTCGGGATCAGCGGCTCCCACGACTTGTGCGAGTATAAAGTCGCCCTCCATCTTGCATGTGGCTGTCGCGTGCAGACACACCCATGGTTCGGCAAACCCCGCCGCCAGTGGCAGCAAACACGGGTGCACACTAGTCTCTCCTACAACGCTGGGGTCACCGCGTGCGAGAGGGGCGAGCAGTGGCAGTGGGCGCTGGCGCTATTGAGCGAGATGCGGGAGGCGAAGCTGGAGCCCGACGTCATCTGTACTACAATTCCGGGCGAGGCGCTTGCGAAAAGGTCAAGCAGTGGCAGCGCCCCGGGCCGCCCAGAGAGCTCGCGGGCCGCCCGGAGAGCCTCCGGGCCGCTGCCCGACGGGCCCGGGAGGCCCCTGGACCGCTCGCGGACTGATCCAGGATTCCCAGATCGCTCCAAGACGGCCTCAAGAGGTCCCGAAGACGGCCCAAGACGGTCCAAGAGGGTATCCGAGACGCTTAAGATGGCTTCAAGACGCCTTCAAGACGGCCCGAGACGCCTCCACGAGGCCCCCACAGCGTTCGAAGTGCACCTCCAAGAGGGGCCGCAGAAGCCAAAATCGTTGATTTCTGTGTTTTTCCCCACACCTAAAGTGGGGTTCTTGTTTTCTCTGCACACGCCGCACAGGATCTCACACACCCCCTTTCCTCTCTCTCTCTCTCTCTCTCTCTCTCTCTTACTCACCGTCATCGCCATCATCATCACCATCAACCACCATCATCGTCATCACACACACACACACACTCATCATCATTACCATCATCATCACCATCAACCACCATCACCGTCATCACTAGTCATCATCATTATCATCCTCATCATCATCGTCACCATCATCACCACTCGATCACCCACTCACTCACTCAATTACTCACTCATCCTCAGTAGGCTTCGGAGGCAGTGGTCCTCCGACGGTAGGACCGCCGCCACTCTCAACATCATCGTCACCATCTCCATCATAATCTCTCGATCACCCACTCAGTGGCCATCATCATCATCATCCTCATCATTATCATCATCATCACTCATTTATCACACACTCATCATCATCATCATCATCATCATCATCATCATCATCATCATCATCATTCGCTCACTCATGATTTCGTCATCAGGCGGGAGCCTCTGAGTGAATTGCGAGGAAGTCTAAGGCGGGAGCCCCTTCCCTATGGGGCCCGCAGATCACGTTACTAATCCGAGCGGGTCATCGGAACCTTGTAAGTGTCTTCACTTTTGGGCCTCTGAGGCTTGAATATGCAGGAAGTATCAGGCGGGAGCTTCGTCTGTGAGTGAATTGCGAGGAAGTCTCAGACGGGAGCCCCTTCCCTATGGGGCCCGCAAATCATGTTATTAATCCGAGCGGGTCATCGGAACTTTGTAAGTGTCTTCACTTTTGGGCTCTTGAGGCCTGAATATGGAGGAAGTATCAGGCGGGAGCCTCGTCGCTGAGTGAATTGCGAGGAAGTCTCAGGCTGGAGCCCCCTCCTTATGGGGCCCGCCGATCATGTTATTAATCCGAGCGGGTCATCGGAACCTTGTAACTGTCGTCACTTTTGGGCTCTTGAGGCTTGAATATGAAGGAAGTCTCGAGCGGGAGCCTCGTCGCTGAGTGAATTGCGAGGAAGTCTCAGGCTTGAGCCCCCTCTTTATGGGGCCCGCCGATCATGTTATTAATCCGAGCGGTGTCATCGGAACCTTGTAACTGTCGTCACTTTTGGGCCTCTGAGGCTTGAATATGCAGGAAGTATCAGGCGGGAGCTTGTAACTGTCGTCACTTTTGGGCCAGACGCTGCGCAAGGTCGTCACCATCGACTGCGCCAGGGATGAGGACGCTGGCCGCACGGGCATGTCGGACGAGATGTGGTGGCTGCACCTCTACGTCATGTTTTCCCGCGCCACGTGCATGCGGAACATGCTGATCCTGCGGCCGCCCGCGCGAGAGTTCCTGGAGCGCGGGCCGCCGGCGTCACTGCGGAAGGCGCTCCAAGAGTTCGACAAGAGAGCGGTGGATTCCAGGGCTGAGGCGGAGCAGCTCGCGGCAGAGCTGGGCTTCGTGCTGCCGCCCGCCTGAGCGCCGCGGCGCGCACCTAGAGGCCCGCGGGGTTGTCCCAACGGCTGGCTCCCGCGCCCTTGCGGCCTGCGAGGTTGCCCCAACTGCCTGGCCCGAAGGGTTGCCCCGACGGTTTCGCGATCTAGCCGTCGGCAAACGCGCGCGTGCTGGCCGACGCGGCGACGGCGCCGAGGAAAATCGAGTTGCTTGCCACGACCAGGGGGAACGGGAGGTGCACATGGAAAAGAAGCAGGAATACGAGGAGGGAAGGGGCATGGGGGAGGGCGACGACGAGGAGGAGGTGGCGCGAGAGGAGGAGGGAGGAGGAGGAGGAGGAGGAGGAGGAGGAGTAGAATGAGGAAGAGAGGGCAGTGCAGAGGGCGAGAGGAGAGGGTGTCCGCCAGGGGAAGGAGGAAAGGGCAAAGGGTAAACTAAACAGATGTTCGTGCGGGGTCCTACCGTCGGAGTAATTTTCAACGTTTCTGGCCTTCTCACTTTTTCGGCTTTCCGACGCTCCACGGCCGCCCAAGAGGCCCCCAAGACCGTTCCAAGACGGCCCAAGAGGCTTTCAAGACGGCCCCAAGACGGCCCAAGAGGGCCCCAAGACGGCCCAAGAGTCGCCCAAGACGGCCCAAGAGGGCCCCAAGAAGGCCACAAGAGAGGCCCAAGACAGCGCCCGGGGCCGCCCGGAGAGCCCGCGGGCCGTCCGCAGAGCCTCTGGGGCGCTCCTCGAGGGCCCCAGGAGGCCCCTGGAGCGCTCGCCGACGGCTCTGGGACCCCCAGATCGCCCCCAGACGGCTTCACACACGCCCAAGGGGGCAGAAGCCGATCCGGCCCCCGAGGACCGCGTAGACGGCGCCAAGAAGCAACACGCGTGCGTTATTCGAAGGTTTCGAGGGTTGTCCTGTTCCCGCCACTTCGGGCTTACAACGGCCCAGGATGGCCCCGGGGGCTTCCCAGATCGCCCGAGCACGGTCCAAGAGGGCCCCAGGAGGACTCCCAGACGGCCCCAGAAAGCCCGTAGACGGCCCAAGAGGGCTCGAAAACGGGCCAAGAGACAGCCCCAACCAGGCCCCAGATCCCGCCCGAGCGGGCCCAATGCGACCTCCGAGACGGCCCGAGACCCCCAAGATGGCCCCAAAACGCCCCAGGGAGGGCCAAAGCGACCTTCGCGACGGCCCGAGACCCCCGAGATGGCCCCAAGACCACCCTGCGCGGGCCCGCTAACGTGGCCCCTTCACTCTGACGGTGCTTGAAAACCCTTGAGTTTGGGCTGATCGCGCCCAGTCCCAGCGCGATTAGCAAAAATCCATTCCTTTTCACGTTTCCAGGTCAGTGCCCCCGGGGCTCCCCGACTGCTTTATGAGATCGCCCCTGGACCTGGACGTGGCCCCTTACACGTCGGCCCCACGCTTGGCCTCCAAACGGGACCCTCAAAGGCGGCCCCCACACAAAGCCTCCGAAGGTCGCCCCTGCCGCCCCAGTAAGCGTGGCCCCCGAACGTCAACCCCACGCGTAGCCCCCAGGTGGCCCCAACACACAGCCCCCAACCATTGCCTTCAAACGTGACCGTCACATCTGCCCCCGAACCCCGCACCCTCAAACGCGACCGTGATATGTGCCCCCGAACCCCGCTCGCGGCCCCCAAACATGGCCCCCGGCAGGGCCGCGAACGTTGCCCCCAACCATGACCCCCTGACGAGACCCCCCAGCGTGGCCTTCAAACGAGGCCCCCCAACGTAGCGCCCAACTCTGGCCCCCACGCGTCCACCCCCCACATCGAACTTCTCGCGCACAGGGACTCTGTAAGATCGTTCGGGCCCCCTTACTCCGATTGTGTCTGAAAACCTAAGTGTTTCTGCTAATCGCGCCCAGGCCTCGCGCGATTAGCAAAAACACATTACTTTTGACGCTTCCAGCGCTTCCGACACGCGCGCGTTCGGGACCAACGCCTGGACCTTCGGGCCGTGGATTTTCCACGGGTTCACGCTAGTCAGCTACAGCACTGGGATCAGGGCGTACGAGAAGGGCGAGCACTGGCAGCGGGCCCTGGCGCTGCTGAGCGAGATGCGGGAGGCGAAGGTGGAGCCCAAAGTCATCTCTACTACGTTGCAGGCGTGCGCGCGTGCGAGAGAGGCGGGGGTCGGGGAGAGATGTTCCGGCACCCCCTGGCTGCCCCTGTGGGCTCCTGCGGGCCCAAGCAGGCCTCGGCGCGCTTCCAGGAGGCCCGAGAGCGCTCCGAGACCGGGGCCCCCCGAGATCGGCCCAAGATGGTCCAAGAGGACCTCCAAGACAGTCCAAGAGCAATCGCAGACGCCCAAAATAGCCCCCAGACGGCCCGAGGGGCACCCGAAACGCTCCAAGTGGGTTACATGAAGAAGAGTTCTGAGAGAGCCCGCGCAAACAGAAATCGTCCCAATCCCTAGTCGTACTTCCCGTGGTTTTCGTTTGAGGACAATTCACGCCCCAATCGCCCCAAGACGCCTCAGGAGCGCCCCATGAGGGCCCCAAGTCGGCCTCAGACGGCCACGGGACAGCCCAAGACGGCTCCAGGACAGCTCCTGAAGAGTCTCCTACAACGCTGGGATCAGCGCGTGCGAGAAGAGCAAGCAGTGGCAGCGGGCGCTGGCGCTGTTGAGCGAAATACGGGAGGCGAAGCTGGAGCCCAACGTCATCTCCATTACAGTGCAGGGGCCCGCGTGCGCGGGGAACGCGTGCCACGGGGAAAACGTCGTCGGCGCCCCGGCGGCCCCTGCGAGCCCCGGAGAGCCCCTTGACGCCTCCGAAACAGCTCCGAGACGCTCAAGAGGCCGCCTCGACGGCCCAAAGACGGACGGCTCCGAGCCGCTCAGGAGCCGCTTCGACGGCCCCCAAAGCCCCCAAGGCAGGCCAAGAGGCTCCCAAAACGGCTTTGGAGGACTTCCCAGGAGAACTTGAAGAGGCCAAAATGGTCCCATTCCTTTCGGGAAGCGCATATTTTTGCAATTCTCGTGATTTTCGTTTCCAACGCGTCCACGACGGCCATAGAGGCCCCCAAGGTCGCCCTAAGATGCACCCGAGACGGCCCAAAACGACCCCAGGACGGCCCGAGAGGCGCTCAGGACGGCCCCAGAGATGCCCAAGACGGGCCCATACGGCCCCAAGACTACCATCCGAGAGGCAACCAAGACGGCCCAAGAGGGCCCCCAGAGCTCCCAGACGCTCCAGAGGCCGCCCCGACAGCCCAAAGACGGTTCGGAGCCGCTCAAGAGGCCGCCTCGACGGCCCCCAAAGCCCCCAATGCAGGCCAGGAGGCTCACAAGACGGCCCAGTAGGACCTCCCAGGAGAGCTTGAAGGGGCCCAAATCGTCCCATTCCTTTCGGGAAACGCATATTTTGCCAATTCTCGTGATTTTCGTATCCAACGCGTCCACGACGGGCATGGAGGCCCCCAAGATCGCCCTAAGCTGCCCCCGTGAGGGCCCCAAAACAGCCCAAGACCACCCCAGGACGGCCCAAAAGGCGCCCAAGACGGCCCAAGAGGTGCCCAAGAAGGGCCCAGACGGCTCCCAAACAACCACCCGAAATGCAACCAACACAGCCCAAGAGGGCACCCCAAAACGGCCCTACCACGGCTCGTGAGGCGCCCATGGCGGCCCAAAAGACGGCCCAAGGGCCCCAAACGGCACCAAAACGCTTCAAAACGGCCCCAGCAGAACTCCCGAGGCGCCCATGGCGGCCCAACAGGCACCCAAACCAGCCCCAAGAGCGGCTGGCCCAAGATGCCCCCATGAGGGCCTCAATCTGCCCAAGACCTCAGGACGGCCCAAAAGGCGCTCCAGACAGCCACAGAGGCGCCCAAGACGGCCCAAGACAACCCCCAGACGGCTCCGGACGGCCCCCACACGGGCGAAAAGTCACCCGAGACAGCCCAAGAGGGCCCCAGCAGGATTTGAGGAGCCGAAAGGAGGGCTCCTAAACGAGCCCCAGAGGCCCCAAGCTCACGGTCCAAAAAGCACCGAAGACAGCACAAATAGCAGCCAAAGACGGCCTGAGACGGCCCGAAGTCCCAAAACGGCTCCAAGCGCACCACGGGCCGGTCACACAACCTAGCCGATTCTGGGCCGGCGGGCCGGTGGCCCAGAATCGGCTAGGGCCGCCCCGGAGGTGTCCGCGCCGTCCCGGGACGCGCCTGGCGGATTTCAGAGCTGGCGGCGCGGCGGCCAAGAATCGGCCCGCCGATTCTGGATCGGAAGGCTGTGGCCCAGAGTCGCCCCGGCTGGCCCTGGAAGCGCGCGCGGCCGCCCAGGGCGCGCCGGGCGGGATTCTGGGCCGGCGGCGCGGTGGCCCAGAATCGGTCCTGTCGATTCTGGGCCGGCGGGCTGGTGGCCCAGAAGCGGGCAGGCCCGCCGCGGAAGCCAGGGCGCGTTGGGCGGGATTCTTGGCTGGTGGCGCGGCGGCCAAGAATTAGTTCCGCCGATTCTAGGCTGGCGGGCCTACCCCAGAGCGCGGCGGCCCCTGGTCGCGCCAGACGGGATTCTGGGCCGGCGGCGTGGCGGCCCAGAGTCGGCCCCGCCGAATCTAGGCTGGCGGGTCGGGGGCCCAAATCTCGGCTGGGTGGCTCCAAAGGCGCGCGTGGCCTTGGGAGCGAGGGGCAGGACTCTGGGACGGCGGGCCAAGGGGCGCTCAGAATCGGCACCGCCGACTCTGGGCCGGCGGGCCGGTGGCCCTGAATCGGGCCAGCCTAACGTTATGTTGTTCCCATCGTACTTAAGGACCAGATCCCCAAAATTATTTCGAGTTAAACCGTCCAGGTTCGATACTTCCTGGTGCTCGACATTCTTCGTGGTGATCAAGGCCAAAGTAGATTGGAACATCATAAGTCTAGCCTTGCAGCCCGTGGGCGCCGCCGCCGCCGTCGTCGGTGTCGCTGGGGGCTCCCAGACGGGCGAGCAGCGCTACCTGGTGCCCCCGCAGCTCAGCGATATGTGGCAGGCAAACATGACGCCATTCATCCTGCCCGCTTTGCGGCAGCACCCCTGCACCCCGCAAGTGGACGTAGTCCACGGGTCGGCCGTAGTCAGCTACAGCGCTGGGGTCAGCGCGTGCGAGAAGGGCGAGCAGTGGCAGTGGGCGCTGACGCTGCTGAGCGACATGGGGGGGTCGAAGGTGGAGCACGACGCCATCTGTAACACAATTCTGCCCGAAGCGCGTGCGAGAAGGGCTTTTAGTCGAAAGCCCGCCCCGGGGAGCCTCGAGAGCCGCGGGCCTGCAAGACGCATCCAAACATAATAGATACGTTTAGATGCGATCGTGCCCCGGTGCAGCCGAGAAGCCTATCGCATCTACTTTTCTGCTACGACGACAATATAGATATTATTTTTAGATACGCGCCCCTGGCCTGCGCGGGAGCGCCGCCGTATCTAAACGTATCTATGGTTCAAGCATGTCTCAACAATCGGGACCGTCAATATTTTTTCCAAGAAGCACATATAGATGTTTCAAATAATGTCATTGCCGCGCCGTATCTATTGATCGATTCTTTGTTGTCGGAACGGATGCTGTTGGTTGTGCTCTCGGAGCGAACAAGATCCATGCTACTGGTCGAAGCAATGAGCAACGGAATGCTGATAGGGGAAGCCGTGGCGATGAGGGGTGAGGAAACAAGCGACGATGGCAAAAACGACGAGGAGCATGATGGATAACAACGACGAAACGACATTTTCGAGATAACTGGGTAATTAGGAACAGGAAACTGTAGGGAGAGCAAAAAGGAGGAAAAGGAGGAGGAGGAGGAGGAGGAGGCGAAGGCGGAAGCGGAGGCGGAGGACGAGTGCGAGGACGATGTGTCAAATCGGAAGTGAAAGGGGGGGGTTCGTGGTGCGGGCGAGAAGATTCTTGGATTCGTCATGATTTCCCATTTCTCTTCCTCCTTCTCCTCCGCCTCCTCCTCCTCATCATCATCATCATCATCGCCGTCCTGACTGGCGTTTGTCTTGTTTTCCCTGTTATTGAGCGGCCTCGGCCTGGCAGTGGAAATGTGGCGCCGTATCATTTCGTATCTTTTTGTTGGTAGACATCTTGCACCGTATCTAAACATAGTTAAGCACACCATCTACCCTTTTCTCAAAATGACCCCGTATCTAAAAATATGAGAAATATATTTCCCGTGCTCAAAAATAGGAATTCGTATCTAAACGTATCAGCTTTTGAAGCATATTTGTTCGTATCTACTTTTCGTTGTGACACGTTGTAAAACACATATGGTTCAGGGAGGAATGTTAGATACCATGCGGCCCTTCCGAATGCAGCTGCCGCTGGTGAGATGAGTAACCAACATAGATTTATTGATGCGTCTTCTCAGGACGGCCTGTAGCGCCAAACGTGTCCTGGGGCGCCTCCAAGACGCTCCCCGACGGCTCCGGAAGTCCTTTGGGCCGCTCGCCGACGGCTCCCGGGCCCCCAGCGCGGCTCCCCGGCCCCCCGGCGTGGCCCAATATGTTGTCTCCCAGAGAGCCTGTAGCGCGCTCCCCGACGGCCCCAGAAGGCCCCGGGGCCGCTCGCGCACGACCCCACGACCCCAGATCGCCCCAAGACGATTTCCCCGCAAGACCCACACCAAGCCCCATACCCCACACCGAGCCCCGACACCTCCGGAAGGCCCCTGCGCCGCTCGCCGACGGCTCCCTCGCCCCAAGCTCGTCCCAAGACGGCTTCCCGCAAGCCACAAACCGAACACCATACCTCATGCCAAGCCCCCGACGGTTCCGAAAGACCCCTGGGACGCTCGCCGACGGCCCCCTCGCCCCCAGCGAGAGCCACGACCCCCAGATCGCCCCAAGAGGGCTTCCCGCAAGCCCTAAACCAAACCCCATCCCCCACACCAAGCCCCCGACACCTCCAGAAGGCCCCTGGGCCGCTCGCCAAATGCTCTCTCGCCCCCAGTTCGGCCCAAGACGGCCTCCCAGAGAGCCTTCAGCACGCTCCCCGACGGCCCCAGAAGGCCCCTGGGTCGTTCGCCGACGGCTCCACGACCCCCACATCGCCCCAGACGGACGGCTCCCCGCAATACCCACACCAAACCCTATGCCCCACACCGAGCCCGGACACCTCCAGAAGGCCCCTGGGCCGCTCGCTGATCGGTATAATACGGCCTCCCAGAGAGCCTTCAGCACGCTCCCCGACGGCGCCAGAAGGCCCCTGGGCGCTCGCCGACGGCTCCACGACCCTCGTATCGCCCCGAGACGGCTTTTCGCAAGCCTCCAACCAAGCCCCATACCCCACACCGAGCCCTTTTCGCCCCCGGAAGGCGACGCCCCCCGACGGTTCCAGAAGGACCTTCCCATTACGCAGGAAGTTGCTCAACCCCACCCGAGGCCTTGGACCATTGAGTTTCCCAAGACCCTCTCGGGAGCTGCGTGTCGACCCCAGCTGGGGCCGCGGCATGCCCTCACGGTCTCAGATACCAGTATTACCCAGGCCTCGCGGTTCTGGTGACAAAGGGGGGCTTTTCCCATGCGCTCGCAAGCCCCAGACCAGGCCCCATACCTACCCCGAGCTCCAGACATTCTGACCTTTTCCAGATCTTCTCAACCGCCCCGTGTCGCTCCACAGCCGCACCATCCCCCAGACCCCGTTCTCTCTGTTTCAGGGTCCGCAGTCTCGGATCGTAGGGCCCTCCATCCCTGGAGTCAGGGCCCTCAGGCCTTGCTCGCATCTTGCCTCCTCCTGCCGTCATGCCCCGACCTCAATCACTCGTTCTACCCGCTCCCGCCCTCCCCCCAGCCTCGGCGACACATGCGTGTTCCAGACATCCAGGCCCCGAAAGCTTCGAAGACCTGCTCGGGTCGGACAAGCTGTTCTGCTACCGACACGTTGTTCACGCCGTGGACCTCATCCACGGGTACACACAAGTCTCTCTTACATAGCCAGTGGAAGCGCGTGCGAGAAGCTCAGGGCATCAAGTGCATGGAATCGGCCCTTTACGGCGCCACCACGGGACCAAATCGCTCAGGCTGGTCCCAGAGGCGTTCCAGAGGGGTTCCAAGATTGTCCAAGAGCGCTCCAAGACGGCCTCAGTGGGTCCCGAGACGGCCCACGAGGGCCCGAAGCCTTCCGGGGGGGGTTCCACGACGATCCAAAAGGCCGCAAAGACGCCCAAAGATGGCCCCGAGCACACGCCAACGAGGCACACATCGTCAAATTCCGATGGGAAAACGTATATTTTCAGCATGCCCGCCTTGTGTGCTCCTCAGCGGCCCAGGACACGCCAAGAGGCCTCCCAAATCGCCCCAAGAAGACGCCAGCGGCCCGTAAGAGGACTCCAAGACGGCCCACCAGAGCCCCAAGACGACGCCAGAGAGCGCTGAAACGGCCTCACAGAACCCCAAGACGACCCCAAGAAAGCTCCGAGGGGACCCCAAGAGGCCCCCAAGACGGCCTCAGGCAGCCTCAAGCGAGCTCCAAGACGGTCCAAGGCTTCCCGGACGCCCCGCGACGGCCCAAAATGGCCCCAAGACGTCCTAAAACGCTCCCAGAGCAGCCCAGAAAAGCTTCAGAATGGCACGAAAAAGAGCCCCACAAGGACCACCAAGCAGGCCCAGAGACGCCCACGGTGAAGTACAAAGCTCTTCTCACCAAGGCTCCCAAGATCAGAGGCTAGCAACATATGTACACGTACGCGGTTAGTTTCCCCTGGAGTGCGTGTCAACGCGGACGTTCGTGCAGGCAAGACCGCGGAGGGCGTACATGTACATATGTCGTTGCTCGCCCACAAGAGCGAGCCGCAGCGTAGAGAGCTCTCCCAGGCACAGCTCCCAAGAGCGAGCGGTGACGTGACCAGCCCTTCACACAGGGGCTCTCAAAAGCGAAGGGCGCCATGAGCCATCTCGGGCCGATTCCTGCATCGCCCCTTTCGTTTCCGAGCCCGCGCAGGTCTCGCCGCTTGCTGTGGACGTCGTCCTCAGGCCAGGTCTTCCCCCTCTGAAGGCGTGACATCGACCCACCCCGGCTCATGAAGGAGGAGGAAGCGAAGGAGGAACGGAGGAGGAGGAGGAGGAGGAGGAGGAGGAGGAGGAGGAGGAGGAGGAGGAGGAGGCGGAAGAGCACGAGGAGCTGCGGGAGGATGACGGAATTCCAGGATGGGGAGGAACGCGAGGAGGAGCAAGACCAGGACAAGGAGCCCCTCCGCCTCCTCGGGCTCGGCTCCTGTGGTGCCCACCACAGCCCGACAAGCAGTCAAGACAGCTCCAAGAGCGGCCACAAATGGCTCAAGAGGGCTTCCAGACGGTCCCAAGATGGCCCCGCAGGCGCCTAAGACGGCCCCAGACGGCCCCACAATGCACCCAAGGCGGCCCAAGAGTGCCCCAAGAGGGCCCCAGGAGGCCGCAAGACGGCCCAAGAGGGCCCCCAAAGGCCCCCAGACGGCGAAAAGAAACCTCGAGAGGCCCCCAAAGTTCCCAAGGAAAAGGCAGCGCCCGCGATCAGAGCCCTCCGGCCGACTTTTTTCTAGGCCCCAGGTGCCTTCAAAATTGTTCTAGCCAGGGGGGGGAGACAAGCGGCGAGAGGCACACCGCAGACCCACCAGAGCCGTCTGTGACGATTCGAACGCTGTCCAGGCGGACGTGGAGCGGAAGGCGGACGAAGAGGAGGAAACGCACGCCTTCCAACTTCGAAAAAAGGCGGCCGGCAAAAGTCACCGAAGGCTTCGTGGTGACTTTTTCCTGGGCGGTGACCCAACGTGGAGGCGCGCCAGGGGGACTTGCTGGTCGTGGACGAAGTCCACGGGTTCGCCCTAGTCTCTTAGACGGAAGCGCGTGCGAAAAGGTCATGCATTTCGCCCTCCCTGGAGGGCCATTATTCGACACCCCTCACGCAGATCCTGGCCCCCGAGCGTCACAAATGGAGCCCTCCCCCCAAAGACGCGCCGAAGTGGCCATCAGAGGCTCCAAGGAGCGCCCAAGAGGCCCCCTAGAGGCCCCCAACAAGGGCCAAGAGGCCCCCTAGAGGGCCCCACCAAGGCTCTAGAGGCCTCCAAGAGCCTCCAACAGTCCTCCGAAGCACGTCCAAAATCCTACATTTTTCATTGTTTTTGAAAGAGTTTTGCCTGCTCACCTTCTCGGCTAGCCGACGCTCCAAGACGGCCGAAGAGACCCACAAGACCGCCCCAGGACGGCCCAACAGGCCTCC